AAACTCTACAGTGTTTGAGACGCAATGAATGCAGATGCTCATTGCATTTGACTGACTGTGTAGCAGCACCACCTGCTCCCAGCCAGCCTCCTAGCTACAGTAACACTTCTGCTCCATCCTTTTGTGCAACACTTCATTTGCAGGCGGGTCCGAAACTTGCCCCTTCTGTAGGACAGGTTTAACAGCAAAATTTGATGGGCTTGGTGCTATATGGTCCTGGCAAGTGAGACCTGTGGAAGTTTTGTACTCTGTTAGCAATAAAAGAAGTGCTGTATTGTCTTCTTTACCAGTAATCTAATTCATCAGGAATAAATGCAGCCTTCAGTTTCTGACTGGACTCACAATTAGTGACCCATGAAACAGGACAGGACTGATGTTGCTGTTTCCATGCTGCTGAGGCAAAGGGCAAGCCTCAGACCCCCCCAAATTTACATGTTAAACAAGCAACACCAATGGGCTCCATAGTGGTCTGTTTTACTCAAGATTGGAGTCAGGTAGCATTTTCCAATGAACTGACACAATCAGGTTAGTAGTTGGGCTGAGTCTACACACACTGTCATGTAGTTGTGTTATTTTGAGAAGTTTGGGAAAGAATGTTCTCTAGAAAGCACTATTTGTGATGCTGTTACAGCATGAAACATACTGTATCAGCAACAGTACCAGTAGTACTTCAGGAATGAATCCCATTCCTTGAACAAAGTTTTCAGATTTAAATTTTCTTTTTTTTTTTTTTTTTTTTTTTAAAGACGGGGTGAACATGCCACTGCTCATAAGGAAAGTAGAGAGCTCTGTGCTTGGAGCTGGGCTTCCCACTGTGCTGCAGGAGAGGTACATCAATCGAACTGGAATAACAAGACGGGGAGGCAGACCCCTCTGTCTTTGTACCTGCTACTCTTGCATGGCTTCAGGTGTTGGCATCAGCTGAAAGAAGAAAAAGAACTGGCCATGACATTGCACGGAAAGGTCCCTGAACAATCCCAGCCCCTGTCTTTGGTAGAAAAAGATCAAGTTTAAGGAGTGAACTTAGACATCACGCAGTGCAGTAAGGTATCAGTAAATTACCAGGTTGGCTCCAAGCATCTTTCTGCTT